ACGCCCAACAGCCCCTTCTGCACAGAAATCCTTCCTCAGAGCCAGCCTGACCCTGCCCTGGGCAGCTTGAGGCCATTCCCTCGGGGCCTGGCGCTGGGGCCTTGGCTCCAGAGACTCATCCCCCCTCTCTGCCCCCTCCTGGCAGGGAGTTGCCGAGGGCCAGGAGGTCTCCCCTCAGCCTCCTCTTCTCCAGACTGAACCCCCCCAGTTCCCCCAGCCGCTCCCCAGCAGACCTGTGCTCCAGACCCTGCCCCAGCTCCATTGCCCTTCTCTGGCCACGCTCGAGTCATTCAATGGCCTTTTTGGGGTGAGGGGCCCAAATCTGAACACAGTTAAGAAAGGGGTAAGAGCTCTTTACAGACTAAGTGAGCCAGCACTGGGACTCTGGCTTTCTCTTCGACACTCCCCTGTGTGGAGACACACATGTTTTGTATCAAACAGCCCCTGGAAGAAAGACCTGAAGAGCTCCTCGGGGAAGGGTGCTCACTGAGTCATGCTCACACTTTCACCCTTCTCCAGCCTAATGAAACCTGCATTCCTTCCTGCCCAGTGACAGAGTTTCATCAGCAGGGTGGAGAGCGACTCCACCCGAACAAGCCTATAGTCTTGTTATTAGTGCACACCCGTGAGAGGTGGAAGCTTCGATTAGCTGAACACATCATCAAACATCACTGCAGCCATGGTCATGGGCAGCATGGTTTCCCGCTACTGAGTCACTGGCAAAGATGGCAGAGCCTACAGACACAGTCATCCAGAAAATCCCCAGCACAAATCTACCCTTCCTGAAACACAGGAGCTGAACTCAAGCTGACTCAATACACTGATCAGTAGCTTCTCTACTTTCCTGCACTCCAGACATCCCCACCTTACATAAAGAGGCCCGGACCAAAGTCTCAACCATAGTCCTCAAACAGGAGTTGACCTCCCAACCAGCATCATTGCATCATGAAATATGACCACAGTAATATCCTCTGAAAACTCCAGATAAAGAATATTTTTGGACCCTAAGCCAGGTGTTCCCTAGAAGACAGGAACTCCTCAGATGTGCCCAGGATCCTGGACAGATCCAGGATGCACCTGAGTGAAATCACACCAATCTACCACATTGTTTTCATGCCTTTTTTTTTTTTTTTTTTTTTTCAGTGAAGATGGAGGCTTCACCTATGAGTGGATGCACTGTGCAGGACTTCCCTATTGCTGGGAGAGATTCTCCAATCCTTCGCTGTAACGGGGCTCCGCAGCTGAAGCACGGATCTGGATGATGATAAAGTGTTGGGGCAATTAATTGGTGATGTATCTTTCTTAATCGCTAGAGCTAACTTCATGAAGTAATGATCAGGTGCATTACCTTGCTTATGCTTTCTGCTGCTTTAAACTGAAGTAAAATAAGCTTATCTTTTAAACTTGGGGTCTGTGTCCTTTCTGCTGACCCCATCAATTGGCAAAACACCATCATGTGTGGAAACCTGATAGCAGACCCCATACTGCAAAGAAGCTCCCAAGAAAGATGTTTGGCACCAGGTAGACCGACGCCTTGGCCACGGTGTCAAGTAGAAAACAAACATCAGTTGTTTGATGCTCATCTCATGACAGGATTCATTCTGCTTACACCTGGGACTGGAGTGGCTGTTGCAGCAGGAAAACATCTAGTTCTGGGTTGGGCAGTGCAGGAGAGAAGGTAAACCAGAGGTGGTTCAGAGAAGGATTAAAGCCCTGGAGGACAGAGAAAGAGTCAAAGAGCCCACCAAATCACATCAAAGGGATATCCTGGACAAAATACATCCCCGTCAGGGAGAGGAAAATCGCAACAGTGAGCAATTAAGTTTAGTCGAGGGGTGTAACAAGAGCTGTAGAAGCTGAATAAATCAGAGTAGAAATATTTTACACAGGGGTAATTTTACACATGGCTGATAACTTACCACTGGAACAGCTTGTCAGAGCTTGGTGTACACTCCCTGTCACTACAAAATTTGGTTTCTTTTTCACTCAAACAAGAATTAGCCAACAAAAGTTAGATCAGATATTTATAAAGCACATTGCCTTCTTGCCCGTGAACACTGAATTGACGTCATCTGCCTTTCCTTGCATGTGTGATAAACACCGAGAGATTATATCTGTCTAGATTACCTCGTAAATAAGGCAGTCTCACGGGGACAGGCTGGCGGTGGGTTTGGATTGATACCACTGAAAATTCAGAGAGGCTTTTGGCTCACAAGCCTTTCCCCCTGTACACCACACCTCATTTATATTCTCAGATCTTCAGACCCGAAATGACATTTCCACTGAAGTCCCTTCGGGCTCCTGTCAGTCAGCGGTCAAAACCTTGCTCAGGGTTTATTCCACCCCTGACAAAGACAGATGGGAATTTAGATCCTCCTGAGGCCCACAAGCTGTCTAAAGCTGTCCTAACCACTATAGCAGACCACTTCTTTCACACATTTTTCAGGCTCCATCTTAAAGCAGGTGGGATTTCTACCCTGTTTTTGGTTTTTTTTTTAGAAAGGACCCGAATTTTTCTAGTGTTTATGACCCTACCCATGACTGTCAGTCTCATTTAAGTCATGCTATTCTTAACTCAGTTCTAGTCCAGTGTGATCTTTTAGCTTACAGAGTTTTTCTTTCTCTCTGGTTTTTATTGCTTGCAATGTATTTCTAAGGAAAAAAAAAAAAAAACACACACAAAAAAACCCACAAGTCTTATCTCCACTCAACCTCTGTTTTGCCAATTTAAAATTGTGTTTTCCAGTGTGATCTTTTGGGGTGGATCCTGTTCTTCCAGTCTTCCCATTAGTTTTCATATGCTTTCTTTTTTTTTTTTTTTTTTTTTTTTTTTTTTTTTTTTTTTTTTTTTTCCATCAGGATCCTGTTTTTTTCTTGACAGGGGCATTGAAATTCCAGGTGAGAAGCCACCAGGGCTTCACCCCAAAGTGCTAACACTTCCATAATCACCCTGTTAACAGCCTCCCTTACACCCCAACACACAACTTGACATCACCTGTGTTTGTTTGTGTTTGGTTTCGGTTTTGTTGTCCGGGCTCTATCCCACTGGAGGCTCCTGGTTATCTTTAGATAATACCTGTAGGTCTTCCCTTTCCTCTACAATTTCACTCACGTGCTCCCAGCTTCTCTGTCCCCGAGGTCTGGCCCTCCTGCACACTCAGCGAGTCTGAAGGAGCTATAACAACCCCAGCTCTGGTTGTTTCCCGATGCTCTGCCTTACAGACAGATCTCAGACCTTTCAGACGGAGTTAAACGGCTTTGCACTGGCCAGAGGCAAACAATCCCACCATGCTGGTGCATCCAGACACCACAGCGATGGATTGCCTCCGCCAAGCTGGACAGACTCATCTTGTTTCCCATTTCTATCGGTATTCCTTCAATCTCTCTGATTCATTCCAAGGATTTCTCAGTACGCAATGCCTTTTAAGTATGTACAAACCATTGCAAGGTGCCCATGTGGACTTCTCCAATTCAGCGAGCTACACACAATCTTCCAAGCAGCGTTTCAGTGCTGTGAACGCTGGAGTGCCAACCCTGACATGCTTACCTATTGAGGCATAACCACCTTGAATGTTTAAAGCACTGGATCTTTTCCAGTTTCATGGCTGTTAATTAAGATGTTGCTCAAATGTGCCTTGAACTGCCTGGTTACAAGAAAGGATCTGGATGTAACCAGGTCTGGTGGCTTTCACAGAGCAGAGTCTTTCTTGGGGGAGGGGGTTTTCTTTATGTACCTGGTCTATGACAGCACAGCAAGATAAAATAAATGATGGTTTTGACTCTCACAGCTGAACAAGGATTAGGGGGCACGTCTTTCCCTTCCGTTCCCATGCCACAGTGCTGATCTCACTGTCCCAGCTGGATGTTTTTTTCTGTAGAAATTTTCATTAGCAATGCTTCTCAACTTACTGAGAACCCTTTAGGGAGCAACACTTTCCTGAGAATCCCCGTTCTCAAACTGGGAAAAAGGATAGGCTGCTGGGAATGGTAGCAGTGCCCACGTGCATCGCTCCAACGAGCCCATGACAAGCAAAGCCCCAGTCATTAAATCAGCTTGTGCACTCAACTTGTTTCCATCCCTGAAGTCTCCAAGTGCTTCGCAAACTTTTCATCTTCAGCTTATTCAGCTGTTTTACAGGCAATTGCTTAATGCTGGGATTTTCCACCCTGGATGACAACAAAACCCACAAAAGGTCTATCAGCTTTTCCTATGAAATGTAAAATGCCATTGGCTCAGTCAACAGGAGAGGCAAAGCATTTCTCCCTAACTGCAAGCTTTTTAAGCTGTTTCCACAAATATTGCATGAGTTTAAAAAAAAAAAAAAAAAGAAAAAAAAATATCATGTTGAAAAGGTTGCCTTGAAATGCATAAAGTGAAAATTTCTATCAGGAAGGTACTGTAGGGGGAAAATTGATCCATTTTTGCCATGTTGGGTTTATTTCCCAGCTTCAGAATAAAATTTGGTAAATAACCGACAGCTTTGCAAAGGAAGGCCCAGTGCCCAGCTCTGCCAGCATCACTCGGGACCTGACACAAAATGACAAATCCAAATCCCAGCCTTGGAAGCACCATCTCCCATGCTCACCTCCACTGGCCTTTCAATGACTCTCACGCCCAGCAGCTCAGCACCAGGACTCAGTTAATAACTAAGCCCCTGGGAGACAGAAACCAGGCTTGCTTTTGCACCGTATTTAGGAAAATAAACACGCTTTGGGCAAACCCAGCCACACTACCTTCCCTCCTGTCAGCCCAGAGAGCAGTAGGCATGAAAACATGGTACTGGCTTTGGTGAGGCTGAGCCCACACGTGTGGAAGCCCAGCCTGCTGCTGTTTGCATCTAGACCGTTGTTGCCCAATGCAACACACATGACACAACCCAGCTCCCGGCTCGCGGAGCCAGACTCGAAGGAACAAACATACCTTGTCACATTCCCCATCCAAAGGCTGGTGTGGGGCCAACACTGCACACAGTGTTTTTCCTTTTCCATGGGACCAGCCCCAGGACATAAAACTGAAGAAGAGATGACATATAGCAGAAGTATGCTCCTTGCAGTGACATCACCTCCTCGGGGAACTTGTTCCTCTGCGAATCCCATTCCAGACTGGAGCTGAGCTCTTCCCTGATCACCTCGAGGGAATCCGCCCACAGGATCAACAGGAGGTGGAGGGTGGGAGAACATATAAAGGTCCCGGGGAGCAGCTCTCCTTTGCTGTCCCGGCTGCACGGATCTGCTCTCAGCATGAAGACACTTCTGGTTGGGCTCCTGCTTGGCCTGGCATACGTGGAGTTGGGTAAGACACTGCAGGGACCCCCTGGGAAATGCCTGGGAGGGGAGGGGAAAGGCATCAGTGCAGAAAGACCTGTTAATCCCCACGTAGGAGAAACACCACCTTTCTGCATTTAAGAAGGTCAATGGAGAGGGTGAATGGGGAAAGGGGAGATGCATGCCTGGTGGGGAGAGCCGTGACACCCGACTGAGAGCAATGTGCATCCTTCAGACACATAAGTGGTCGCTTGTCACCTGCTCACACCGTGCCCTGGGATGGAGGAGGACCGACTCATAAGGCTGAGGTGTAAATGACAGCCACATGACACAGGGCAGTCCAAGCATGGCCAAGAACTTGAACCGACAGCCTCTACATAAGCTGCCAAACTGCTCCCTCGGGGACAGGACAGGGTATGTTCATCCTGAGCTCCTGTCATCCCTAAAACCTCCCATCTGGATGCTGGAAAGCACAGAAAACCAGAGGGTGAGGCTTCCATTATAGGCATGGCTGAGGGTATCAGAAATATTTGGAAAGGTTCTCCATGGTTTTCACTTGTTTTAGAGATTAGGAGATAGGTGGAGGTTGGAAATTCTGGGTCTGTTTGGGCTTGATCTCTGATGGATCTGGATCGCAGGCAAACTGGTAGCAGGGTCTGGTCATTGCTGTGTTCTTACTCCATCTATTTGTGACCCATTGCAAATACATCCTTTGACCTGGGACGGAGTCATCCTTGGGGGTGACACCAACCCAGCGGGTTTTAACCTACAGCCCATGGGTCCCAGAGATCCTCAGGCTGCTTTCACGGGACACTGAAAGATCTCAGAGGGAAAGCAGCCTGGGCAGGGGTCTAACACCCCCGTCCAGAGGCTACATGGAGATCGCTCAGAGGGTTGCAAGTGGAAGAAGGCTGAGAAGCATACACCCCACAAGTCTTTATGCATAGAAATGTGCTGGATCTCTTCTTCAGGCTGCGTTGCTCTTTTTTAAACGCCCTGTCCTCAGTTCCTTCTTCAAACTGTCTTTAAAGTCTTTAAAGCTGCTGGCTGAGGGACATGCTCTGGGTTAAACCCACCACAGGGCTGACCCAGGTCAGGTGTAGTTACTTCCGTAGAGCCACTGCAATTTTTTACATTTTAAAACCTGCTGTTTGGTGTGGGTTTTTTTTTTTTTCTTTCTTTCTTTCAATGTATTTCACAGATGGTGTATTATATGTTTCTTTTCCCTTTTCTGGGTCTACCCCTGTCCTGGGTTTGATGGGGTTGCTGAAGGGTTTGATGGGGTTGCTGAAGAACTGCCAGAGCAGGCTTCCACCCACCAGGTCTCCAAGTGCTTTATGGAAACAGAGAGGCATCACCACACTTTGCTTTATAGTTGAGATGGAGGAAGAAATGTTTTTTCTAGGAAGATCCAGTGGGAAGAAGCTGGTCTAGGCACAGCTTTTGCAGCTGAGGAATATGTCTGTGAGCATTCATCTTCCAGAGTTTTGATATCAGGGGTAGAAGGTACCTCTGGACAAGGATGAGCGGTGAATTATTGGCCTCAGTTCAGGACACAGCACTGTCCTCTTTGTTCAGTTCTTCTGTCCTGGTTTTGGCCTTTACTCTTCCACTTCCTACAGAACCAGTGTCCTCTAAGTTCCCCACCCAGAGCCAGTGAAATATAAGGGGGCTGAGGATTTTTTTTCCTTAAACCTGAACTTAACTGGAAGTAACTCCCCCAAAGCCCATGGCACTGCCCTGTTCACCCATGACAATGGTGAGGTTTGGACACCAGCTAAACCCAAAGGTCACAGCTCAGTGTCTCATAATTCTAAGCTAGTACTGCCTCATCCATACGTTACCCAGTCCTACACACTCACAAACATCCATACGCTTGTCAGGGTGACATTTCTCTCTCAGTGGGCACTACACGTTAAAATATAAAACAACCTCTCATGGGTCATTTGAAAGGGATCTACACAAGTCCTCAGCTCAGGTAAACAGGGGTGGCTCCACCACACTTATTTACAAAGGATATGGCCAAAAGAACACCACCACTGCTCACGTTAAAAAGTCCTTTCTACCTCTGCAAAGAGGACCAAGTTTTTGCATGGTGTAGGCTCTATCGCCCAGCTGAATTTTCCAAAGGAGGCGCTAAGAAAAGTAGACGCCCTGAAAAGTCTTTCGCGAGTCGGGTGCTCAAACAACTGCCTTCAAAAATATTTATCCTTATCACAAAGTGCCAGATGTTTCTAATATTTAACTGCAGGACTAGAACAACATCGTCTTTCTGCAATTTTGCCAATAGATGGCAGTGAACACATTTGAGTGGTTTATAGCTGTGCTGGTCGAAGGCAGGTAGGATGGAAAATATCAGACCACGCTGGTTTCTGTCATCAAGCCACAACAGCACGACTCAAAAAAAATATGCACACTCGGTATCTGCCGGCTGTGAACGGACGGGTCTCATACCGAGACTTTCGAAAAACTGCTGGGATCAGTGTTTACATATGTAAAGGTGTCCCTCTGTCAACAGGCAGCCAGCAAGAGCTTTATAGCATCATCTCTTTGAAAAAGCAGCAGCATCCCCTGATGAAAGTGGGTTTGGGGCCACGTTCAGCCCTTAGGATCTCTAATACAGCTCTGAAATTTAAATTCTGCTCTCAGTTACTAAGTTCTGCAGAAATCCCTCTACGGAAGCACGGAGGAGCTGTCGCTGTGGGTGGAGGGATGGGGGAACTGCCAGTCTTTCAGTGATGGTGAATGCTGCTCTCAACAGAAGGAGCTATTTTGCTCCATGTTACAGCATTTCTTACAAAGGATGAAAAGTTCTTATCAAAGCTGCTCAAACAATAGATCCTTCTAGATCCCTGTTCTTTTCAGGCTGCTGAGCTCCCAAGGTAGTGATCATGCCCAACTCTCTGCAAAGCCATCCTCATCCTTTGGTGCTGGGGTCTGCTCTTTCCCCCCTGCCATGTCCAAGCTTCGCCATTGCCTCCAGATGTGCTTATTTTCCTAGACCACCACATCTGGCCAAGGGGGGATGAAGTACTGACCATCACATAGTCCTCACCGCAGAGCAGAGAACCTGCAGACTCGTCATCTTCGCTGCTGCAAAACCTGACGCCCATTCTGTTTCCCTCTGCAGCCCACTCCTTACGATGCTACACGTGCAAAGAACCAACGGACATTGCTAAGTGCAGGACAGCCACCCTGTGCCCCCCGAAATCCACCGTCTGCACAACAACGCTGCACTCTGTAGAGACGGGTAGGCTTCATCGCTTGCTGTGTTTGTGGGGAGAGATCATAGAATCGTAGAAAGGTTTGGCTTGGAAGGGACTGGAAAGATTATCTCGTTCCAACCCCCCTGCCCTGGGCAGGGCCACCTTCCACCAGCCCAGGTTGCCTAAAACCCCGTCCAACCTGGCCTTGAACCCTTCCAGGGAGGGGGCAGCCACAGCTTCTCTGGGCAGCCTGTGCCAGGGCCTCACCCCCCTCACAGGGGAGAATTTCTGCCTTAGATCTGATCTAAATCTGCCCTCTGTCAGTTTAAAGTCATTACTCCTTGTCCTATCCCTACACACTGTGATAAAGAGTCCTTCCCCTCCCTTTCCTGCAGCCCCTTTCAGCCCTGGAAGGCCGCTCTAAGGTCTCCCCGGAGCCTTCTCTTCCCCAGCAGAACCCCCCAACTCTCTCAGCCTGTCCTCACAGGGGGGTGCCCCATTCCCCCAAGCATCTTTGTGACCTCTGCTGGACCCTCTCAAGCAGGTCCATGTTGGTGCCCCCAGACCTGAACACAGCACTGCAGGGGGGGTCTCACGAGAGTCGAGCAGAGGGGGAGAATCCCCATCCCCTCCCTCAACCCGTTGGCCATGCTTCCCTCTCCCCCTCCCAGTCCCAGGTTGGATTATCCTTTAGCTTCTCTATAAGTATCCAGGTGGCGTTACCCAACTTTAGAGCGAGAAGGAAAGAAATCCATCAGATTCAGACTCTCAGTCTGGTATACACTCACTCTAGTTACTCTGTTTACTCTGTTTGCTTTGGTTTTCCTACTCCTACACCCTTACGGACACTGAACCTATAGATGTGTGCAAACATACAGCAGAAACTCCGGCGTTCTCTCCTTGTTTGTAGAGGCTTTCCTCTAACACCCTCTCACCAGGGACCATGCCAGTGTTACACCAGCGTTCCTTGGCCCTGCCGCCTCTGATGCAAAGCCATTGCAGGGCCAACTCACCTGAACAAAATAAACAGGGGTTTGTGTCCTTTGTCCACGCTGGAATAAATTTGGAAGGAGCAGGAGGGCGAGAGGAAGTCACCAGGGAGAACTGGAAGTCCTGCTCCTACAAAGGGAAGTCTGGATTGCAGGCACCCACGAATTAGAGATGCTCAACACCTTATTTGCCTATAAACACTTTACCTTTAACGCCCCTCCATTGCACAAATTCAGTGCAATTTTTGATGCCAGCTGTCTGCATCTTCCTTTACCTTTTTCCTTCTCCCTCTTACCCTTCTCTCCCTCTCCAATCTGCCTTGTTTCAGGTTACCCCTTTTTCGGCAACATCACTGTGACTAGAAGCTGTGAGGAGGAATGCCTCTCCTACGATGGGATAGGGGCAACCAGACCCAAGTCATGCTGCTACACCGACCTCTGCACCGATGACACCAGGAGCAGCAACGGGGTGCGAAGCAGCTCCGCAGGGCTGGGTCTGATGGCCATGGCTCTTGGCGTGCTCCTCCAGTGCTCTCTGTAACGTCACAAATGCCCACGCTCCAGCTGAAACACCCCCACTCCTCTCTCGGCCAAGCTGCCTCGTGAACTCGTAGATGCCTTGGGAACAACCTTTTTCGCTGGTGTGTGGCTCCACTCATCTTCAGTGCTGTGAATTCCAGTGGATTCAAGCCAAGAGTCTGGGCACCTGGATGTAAACCCCTCAGATTTCCAGTTTCCACCTGCTAAGCAGATATTCTTTACCTTCAGCTGCTTCTGGTCCTGGGGACCTACATCTCCCCTGACAGCTTTCCTCTGTGGGGAGCAGCAGTGGATGAAGCGGGCAGTGCCATCAAGGCTGGTGTTCTGGCATCATCCTCAGCAGGACCCGGAGCTGTATCCCCACTGAAGGTGGACAGGGCTTTTTTCCCAGGTGTCCCCAAGCTCCCACACAACCTGTGCCCATGTGCCTCTATTAAATCCCTCTGCACATCCCCCCCACCCCCCACCCCC